ATGACTTTTGGTCCTAGGTTTACTTGATCATTTGGATGGTTTGGTGGTTTAGTTTTGTTTTTTTTGGTTTTTTTTTCAAGATGCAGAGCCACCGGCCCAGCAGATGATAGGCACTAGAGGGAAGGTGAGCCTGGTGAGGAAGGCGAGCAGGGACTGCAGGACAAAATTAGATGCTTTTTTGCAGGCGGTGTGCTTGTGGTGAATCTGTGTGCGTACTTGTTTTTTTGTTTTCCAGGCAGTGCACTGACTTCTGACGTGCAGTCCAACGTGATGGGGACCCTGCCTGTAAGAGGTCACGGTCAAGGGGTGTCAGACAGAAACTGCCATGGGGGCAGCAAACTCTTGGGCAGTATCTCAGTACTCACATTTGCCTCTGGGGTTTTTTTGCAGGAGATGTAGACAGCCTGACAGGGCCGAAGCCAACTCACAATGAGGAGATGGACACGGTTTGGTCCCCTGGAGCTGTCCTTGTAGGTAATCTCTGAGTATTAAAAGGATCAGCAATGAAGCACTGAGCTTTTCTGATTGCAGGTGCCATCCGGGTAACCTTTGGGAGCAGATGAGCATTGGAGGTGAGTCGGGGAGGGAGGCAGGAGGAGCAGGGATTCACTGCAGCTTTAGAAATGCCCTCTAATTGTTTCTCTCTCTCTCTCAGGTATCCCAGAAGATGACAGCACATTGTCCAAGTCTGGTCAGAGCCAGTGACATGAGGACCTGCCTCAGTGCCAGTGAGTAGAGGGATCGTCGGGGCTGGGGCCATGTGCCACACTACTCAGATATGGTGTATGGTTTTCTTTCTTGCAGTTGACTCCGAGTACTCTCAGGATGACAGGAACCTCTGAGCCAACCCAGGTGCCCCTCCTCTGCATCAAAGATGGATTCACATCCCCGGCTCTCGGAAAGATAAGTGCAGGGCAAAGACCCAGAGAGGGGTTGGGAGTCGGGGCAAGTATGTGCATCGCCTGGAGGGATTTTTGCAATTAGTATGGTGCAATGGGTGTCCTGTAGCAGGTTATTTAGAGACCTCAAAGGAAGGGCTTACTTTGTATCATTGGATTCCCGTGTGCAGGGCAGAGCAGTTCCGGTCTGTGTCACGTCCTTTGTCTCCTCCATGTTTGTGTCCTTCGTCTCTTAATTGTGTCACATGGTGTGTGTCATCACAGGTATGGGGTGTCTCACTTGGGGTCAGCCTGGAACTGCTCTGCCCTGCTACGTGGATCAGTGGGTAGATAGAATATTGCTCAGTCTCACATCAACATGTCAGTTCCCTCAGACAGTCGAACCGATGGCTGTACGGTCCTGCCGGATGGAGCAGGTGTCCATAACTCGTGTGCAATCATTATAGCTGAGTGTTGTGGAGCTGATGGTACTTGGATAGCAGGGCCTTGAAGCTGGGTTGTCATTTGTATTCTTGTATGCTGTGGTCAGAGTTCTCACTCGCTCAGTGGAAATGAGTTCTTTGAAGTGGTTAAGGTCTCAGAGACCATGTGGGTGACCTGACTAACCTTTTGTTTTTTGTTGTTTTTTTTCAGATAAGTGGACACAGTGTACCCCAGACTGAAACAAGCTGAAGCAGTCTGGGAAGAAGGTTGTATTAGGTGTTGGATGAAGGATGTCAGTTTTAGCTGTAGGAGTCCTTTATCTTGTGCCTTCTTGGTTTTTATTTTCCAGATGGGGCCCAATCGGTCTCAAGGCGTAGCGGCTCAGCAGGGAGACGAGCGAGGTGAGAATTTTACTCCCCAGCCGAATTTGGAGTTAGTTTTAGGATGTCATCTATGTGGTCAATCTATGCATATATGTTGTAACTGTTTAATTTTTTTTCTAGGCGATGCACAACCCTTTGCCCGTCTGCTGAAGGTGCCGAAGGTCCATCCGATCAGAGGTCAAGCTAAAGGAGCCCGAGATAGCCAGTCTGAGGCAGTACATCAACACAAGCCTCCATGTCTGGGTTGTCTTGCAGCGGCCGTCTGTCCACTTCACAGTGTGTAGCAACGCTTTGGCGTGCAGTCTGATGGGGTTTAGAGGTTTTTGGCTTTCCTTGTGAGCCATCCCTAAATGTTTGAGAGCTCAGTGTTTGAGCATTTACCCATTTCATTTGCAGGGGCGATCTTGGGAGCAGCTGAAGAGAGAGGAGCCTTCTAGGTGAGTTGGGGAGGCAGCAGGAGGAGCGGGGATTCACTGCAGCTTTAGAGATGCCTTCGAATTTTGTGTCTCACTCACTCAGGTATCCCGGAAGGTGACAGCCACAGTGTTGGACTCCGGTCAGGGCCTCGGTGATGGTGAGTAGGGGGATCACTGGGGTTCCAGCCCCGTGCCACACTACTCAGATATTGTGTATGGTTTTCTTTTTCACAGTTGACTTCGAGTACTCTCATGACAACAGGAACCTCTGAGCCAGCCCAGGTGCCCCTCCTGTGCATTGAAGATGGATTCACAGCCCCGGGTCTCGGAAAGATAAGTGCAGGGCAAAGACCCAGAGAGGGGTTGGGAGTCGGGGCAAGTATGTGCATTGCCCGGAGGGATTTTTGCAATTAGTATGGTGCAATGGGTGTCCTGTAGCAGGTTATTTAGAGACCTCAAAGGAAGGGCTTACTTTGTATCATTGGATTCCCGTGTGCAGGGCAGAGCAGTTCCGGTCTGTGTCACGTCCTTTGTCTCCTCCATGTTTGTGTCCTTCGTCTCTTAATTGTGTCACATGGTGTGTGTCATCACAGGTATGGGGTGTCTCACTTGGGGTCAGCCTGGAACTGCTCTGCCCTGCTACGTGGATCAGTGGGTAGATAGAATATAACCCGGGTTCCCACATCAACATGTCGGTTGCCTTAGTCAGTCGAGCCAATGGCTGTACAGTCCTGCTGGATGGAGCAGGTGTCCATAACTCGTGTGCAATCATTATAGCTGAGTGTTGTGGAGCTGATGGTACTTGGATAGCAGGGCCTTGAAGCTGGGTTGTCACTTGTATTCTTGTATGCTGCGGTCAGAGTTCTCACTCGCTCAGTGGAAATGAGTTCTTTGAAGTGGTTAAGGTCTCAGTGACCATGTGGGTGACCTGATTAACCCTTTGTTTGTTTGTTTTTTTTTTTTCTTTTCAGATAAGTGGACACAGTGTACCCCAGACCGAGACGAGTTGAAGCAGCCTGGGAAGAAGGTTGTCTTGGGTGTTGGATGAAGGATGTCAGTTTGAGCCATAGGAGTCCTTTATCTTGTGCCTTTTTTTTCTTTATTTTCCAGATGGGGCCCAATCGGTCTCGAGGTGTAGTGGCTCAGCAGGGAGACGAGCGAGGTGAGAATTTTACTCCCCAGTCGAATTTGGAGTTACTTTTAGGATGTCATCTATGTGGTCAATCTATGCATATATGTTGTAACTGTTTAATTTTTTTTCTAGGCGATGCACAACCCTTTGCCCGTCTGCTGAAGGTGCCGGAGGTCCATCCTATAAGAGGTCAAGCTAAAGGAGCCCGAGATAGCCAGTATGAGGCAGTACATCAGCACAAGCCTCCATGTCTGGGTTGTCTTGCAACGACCGTCTGTCCACTTCACAGTGTGTAGCAACGCTTCGGCGTGCAGTCTGATGGGGTTTAGAGGTTTTTGACTTTCCTTGTGAGCCATCCCTAAATGTTTGAGAGCTCGGTGTTTGAGCATTTACTCATTTCATTTGCAGGGGCGATCTTGGGAGCAGCTGAAGAGAGAGGAGCCTTCTAGGTCATTTGGGGAGGCAGCAGGAGAGGAGTGGGGATCCACTGCAGCTTTAGAGATGCCTTCGAATTTTGTGTCTCACTCACTCAGGTATCCCGGAAGGTGACAGCCACAGTGTTGGACTCCGGTCAGGGCCTCGGTGATGGTGAGTAGGGGGATCACTGGGGTTCCAGCCCTGTGCCACACTACTCAGATATTGTGTATGGTTTTCTTTTTCACAGTTGACTTCGAGTACTCTCATGACAACAGGAACCTCTGCACCAGCCCAGGTGCCCCTCCTGTGCATTGAAGATGGATTCACAGCCCCGGCTCTCAGAAAGATAAGTGCAGGGCAAAGACCCAGAGAGGGGCTGGGAGTCGGGGCAAGTATGTGCATTGCCCGGAGGGATTTTTGCAATTAGTATGGTGCAATGGGTGTCCTGTAGCAGGTTATTTAGAGACCTCAAATGAAGGGCTTACTTTGTATCATTGGATTCCTGTGTGCAGGGCAGAGCAGTTCCGGTCTGTGTCACGTCCTTTGTCTCCTCCATGTTTGTGTCCTTTTTCTCTTAATTGTGTCACATGGTGTATGTCATCACAGGTATGGGGTGTCTCACTTGGGGTCAGCCTGGAACTGCTCTGCCCTGCTATGTGGATCAGTGGGTAGATAGAATATTGCTCAGTCTCACATCAACATGTCAGTTCCCTTAGACAGTTGAGCCTACGGCTGTACAGTCTGTGAGCAGGATTGTCTTGCGATGCCCTGCTTGGGTGTATAGAGTCACAGCTAGGTAGAGTAGCAAACAGTGTCTATGGTATGGGCATTTGTCAGGGGTCTTTGGGCTTATAAAATGTATAGGCTGAGTTTGGGGGTAAATCCAAGGTCACAGAAGGCACACTTCAGAGTCCCTTCCCTTTTGTCTTACAGCCACCCAAAGGAGACTCAGGTTCCTGGGGTGAAAGACGGCATCGGTTTTCCCGGAACTTCTGGCGACCGGGGAGAGATTGTCCGAGCGATCATCGATGGAAACTTCTGAGAGCCACGGGGAGTCCCTGCCCAATGACTTCTGGACTGCATCGTGTAGCATCATATATGTTTGTTTAGTGTTGCAGGTTGCTTCTTAGGCGTAGTTATTGTATTTTACAACTAGAATAGGAAAAGTCCAGCTGCCGTTTATGTTGTCATTTGTATTGCCTTGTACCACTCTGTATCATACACTTGTATAGTTGTAGTCGTATCGGTCCTTATCTGAACGTCACGGCGTCGCGTTCCGTGTGTCAGGAATTGTATATCGTTGCGCCTTTGTTTGTAGCACTTTTTATGTCGTGTCACTTGTATTGCCATGTAATGTTCTGTCTGGTATACTTCTATATTTGCAATTGTATTGCTCTGTATGTGAATGTCATAGTGTTGTATTGCTGTGCATCAGTTAGGAATTGTATAGCTTTGTACCTTACTTTGTTTTGCTTTTGATATTCTGTCTTTGATACTGTCTTGTAATGCTGTGAGGGGTGTGCTCGGGCATGAGCGGCATGCGTGTTTTGTCAGGCTTGGCAATTTGTTTCTTTTTGGAGTTTTTTTTTGAGGCTCCACGGGAACCACGTTCCCAAGGGAGCGTTTTGAGCATGTGCCGATATTCAGGGTTGGCTTGCAGCTTTGGGGTATGGTGGAGGCGTGGCAATGCAGGGGATGGGTGTGTGTAATGTAGTATTCTAACCTTGTGTTTGTTTCTCTTTCAGGATTTTTTCCACCATTTTAACTTTAGAATAAAAAAGCCCAAGCTGGGGGATTTTTTTTTTTCCTCCCGGCTGAGGTTTTTTTTCCTAGGTCCCAGTTGGTCTGCGAGGCAATGTTCATCGCCAATGTTTGGGCACAGGCCAACTCGGGACCTGGGTTTTGTCAGGCAGGATGATATTTTCTTTTTTGAGGCTTCCCGGGAACCCCGTTCCCGAGGCAGCATTTTCAGTGTACACCGATATTCAGGGCTGGCTTGCGGCTTAAGGGAGGGGTGGAGGTGTGGGGATGGAGGGGCTGGGTCCCTGTAATGTAGTATTCTAACCCGCTGTTTGTGCTGTTTCTCTTTCAGGATTTTTTACACCATTTTAGCTTTAGAATAAAAAAAAACCCCAACTGGGGGATTTTTTTTTTTTTTTGCCCCCCGGCTGGGGTATTTTTTCCTAGGTCCCTGCCGGTCTGCGAGGCGATGTTCATCGCCAAAGTTTGGGTGCAGGCCATCCCGGGACCCGGGTTTTGCCAGGCAGGATGATTTTTTGATTTTTGAGCCTTCCCAGGAACCACGTTCCTGAGGGAGTGCTGTAACTTGGATACTAACCTGTGTTGTAAACTGTATTGTAACTTGTATGCTGTCCTGTGTTGTAACTTGGATACTAACCTGTGTTGTAAACTGTATTGTAACGTGTATGCTGTCCTGTGTTGTAACTTGGATACTAACCTGTGTTGTAAACTGTATTGTAACGTGTATGCTGTCCTGTGTTGTAACTTGGATACTAACCTGTGTTGTAACTTCTGTACTAGCCTTGTGTATTTCACAAGGTCACAACAAGTCATTCAATAAAGTTGCAATAAAGGTTTGGGGACTTTTCCCCTCTTAGGGGGTTTTCCCCCTCTTTGGCTCCTGTCTTTATTTTCTGTCATGTAGTCTTTTCTGTTTTTCTCTTCCCTTCTTTCCCTTGCTCATCTTCATCTCTCTTCTCTCTCTTCTCTTGCCTTCATTTCTCTTAGTCACTTCTCTTAATCTCTTCTCTTAGTCACTTGTCTTGCTTTTAATTCTCTTGCTCTCTTCTCCTCCTTTTAATTCTCTTGCTCTCTTCTCCTCCTTTTAATTTTCTTGCTCTCTTCTCCTCCTTTTAATTCTCTTGCTCTCTTCTCCTCCTTTTAATTCTCTTGCTCTCTTCTCCTCCTTTTAATTCTCTTGCTCTCCTGCTTTTATTTCTCTTACTCTTTTATCCTGCTTTTATTTCTCTTGCTTCTCTTATTCTGCTTTTGATTCTTAGTCTCTTATTCTGCTTTTCATTCTCTTAGTCTCTTATTCTGCTTTTCATTCTCTTAGTCACTTCTCCTGCTTTTCATTCTCTTAGTCACTTCTGCTTTTCATTCTCTTAGTCACTTCTCCTGCTTTTCATTCTCTTAGTCACTTCTCCTGCTTTTCATTCTCTTAGTCACTTCTCCTGCTTTTCATTCTCTTAGTCACTTCTCCTGTTTTCATTCTCTTAGTCACTTCTCCTGCTTTTCATTCTCTTAGTCACTTCTCCTGCTTTTCATTCTCTTAGTCTCTTCTGCTTTTACTTCTCTCACTCTCGTCCCCTGCTTTTACTTCTCTCACTCTCGTCCCCTGCTTTTAAGTCTTAGTCTCTTCTCCAGCTTTTAATTCTCTTTCTCTTGCTCTCTTCTCAGGCTCCTCTCCTGATTTTAATTTCTTTAGGCTCTTCTCCTGATTTCAATTCTCTTAGGCTCTTCTCCTGATTATATTTCTTATGCTCTTCTCCTGATTTTAAATTTTTAGGCTCCTCTCCTGATTTTAATTCTCTTAGGCTCTTCTCCTGCTTTTAATTTTTTAGGCTCCTCTCCTGATCTTAATTACTCTTAGGCTCTTCTCCTGTTTTTAGTTTTTTTAGGCTCTTCTCCTGTTTTTAATTTTTTTAGACTTCTCTCCTGATTTTAATTTTCTTAGGCTCCTCTCCTGATTTTATTTCTCTTAGGCTCCTCTCCTGATTTTAATTTTTTTATTTTAGGCTCTTGTCCTGTTTTTAATTTTTTTTTAGGCTCTTCTCCTGTTTTTAATTTTTTTAGACTCCTTTCCTGATTTTATTTCTCTTAGGGTCTTCTCCTGTTTTTAATTTTTTTAGGCTCTTCTCCTGTTTTTCTTTTTTTTTAGGCTCTTGTCCTGTTTTTAATTTTTTTTAGGCTCTTCTCCTGATTTTAATTCTCCTAGACTCTTCTCCTGATTTCAATTTTCTTAGGCTCTTCTCCTGATTTTATTTCTCTGAGGCTCTTTTCCTGGTTTTAATTTTTTTAGGCTCCTCTTCTGTTTTTAATTTTTTTAGGCTCTTCTCCTGATTTTAATTTTTTTGGGCTCTTCTCCTGATTTTAATTGTTCCTCGTTCTTCTCCTGATTTTAATTTTTTTGGGCTCTTCTCCTGATTTTAATTGTTCCTCATTCTTCTCCTGATTTTCATTTTTCTTAGGGTCTTCTCCTGATTTTATTTCTTAGGCTCTTCTCCTGATTTGAATTTTTTTTAGGCTTCTCTCCTGATTTTAATTCTCTTAGACTCTTCTCCTGTTTTTAATTCTCTTAGACTCTTCTCCTGATTTTAATTTTTTTAGGCTCCTCTCCTGATTTTATTACTCTTAGGCTCTTCTCCTGATTTTAATTCTCTTAGGCTCTTCTCCTGATTTTATTTCTTAGGCTCTTCTCCTGATTTTAATTTTTTATCCTCCTCTCCTGATTTTAATTTTTTTGGGCTCCTCTCCTAGTTTTATTTCTCTTAGGCTCTTCTCCTGTTTTTAATTCTCTTAGGCTCTTCTCCTGATTTTAATTTTTTTAGGCTCTTCTGATTTTAATTGTTCCTCAGTTCTTCTCCTGATTTTCATTTTTCGTAGTCTCTTCTCCTGATTTTAGTTTTTTTAGGCTCTTCTCCTGATTTCAATTTTTCTTAGGGTTTTCTCCTGATTTTAATTCTCTTAGGGTCTTCTCCTGATTTTAATTCTCTTAGGGTCTTCTCCTGATTTTAATTCTCTTAGGGTCTTCTCCTGATTGTAATTTTTTTAGGCTCCTCTCCTTTTTTAAATTTTTTTAAACTCTTCTCCTGGTTTTATTTCTCATAGGCTCTTCTCCTGTTTTTAATTCTCTTAGACTCTTCTCCTGATTTTATTTCTCTTAGGCTCTTTACCTGCTTTTATTTTTTTTAGGCTCCTCTCCTGATTTTAATTTCTCTTAGGTTCTTCTCCTCATTTTAATTTTTTTAGACTCCTCTCCTGGTTTTATTTCTCTTAGCCTCTTTTCCTGTTTTTCATTCTCTTAGACTCTTTTCCTGTTTTTCATTCTCTTAGACTCTTCTGATATTAATTTTTTAGGCTCTTCTCCTGATTTTATTTCTCATAGGCTCTTCTCCTGTTTTTATTTCTCATAGGCTCTTCTCCTGTTTTTAATTTTTTTAGGCTCTTCTCCTTATTTTAATTCTCTTAGACTCTTCTCCTGATTTTAATTTTTTAGGCTCCTCTCCTCATTTTAATTTTTCTAGGCTCCTCTCCTTATTTTAAATCTCTTAGACTCTTCTCCTGATTTTATTTTTTTTTAGACTCCTCTCCTTATTTTAATTCCCATAGGCTCTTCTCCTCTTT